GCTGGCAAATAAAACAGAAAGTTTGTTGGTTGAGAAGGACACGGCCAAGCACTGAACCAATGTTGCAGGAACCAAGAGTGTTCAGTACACCCCATCTTGGGGATAACGGGACCCAGAGCCCTGGCTCTGGCTCTCTGCCCACTCCCTTCTCCCTAAGCCTGCTGAAAAACTAACTCCCACACCCAGCAGCTCATCACCCAGCCACATAGGCAGCCCTGCCTCCTGCTTCGTCCTGCTTCCTGGCCCCAGGTGTTATCTGATTATCACTGGTTGCATCTTCCCCCCCAGGTCAGATCACAGGCCAGTCTCAGCTTAAACTGCAGCAAGGGAGGTTTAGGTTGGACATTAGGAAAAAGTTCCTACCTGTCAGGGTGGTGAAACACTGGAATAAATTGCTCAGGGAGGTTGTGGAATCTCCATCTCTGGAAATATTTAAGAGTAGGTTAGATAAATGTCTATCAGGGATGGTCTAGATAGTATTTGGTCCTGCCATGAGGGTAGGAGACTGGACTCAATGACCTCTCGAGGGCGCTTCCAATCGTAGTATTCTATGATTGGCTATGTGCCTGCCCTCAGGAGTTCTCCCCCAGGGATCCCATCCCCCGCTGGTCACTGCACACACACACACACACACACACACACACACACACACACACACACACACACACAGTCACTACAGAGCAGCATCGGACAGTAGCAATCACATACAGCACAGCAAAGCAACCAGTGAATGCAAAAACCGAGTGAAGACAGTGGCTGCCAGAGGGAGCACAGGCCTCACTAGGTGTCACAAAGCAACTGAGAAAAACAAATTAAAACACAGAGAAAAATAGAATCTCTGGGTGCAGCTTAGATACAGTGAATGGGGGGAAAGCACATGGATTTTACAGAGATTATCTAAACAACAAAACCAAGAAAATAACTGGATCACATCTAACTAGACATTCCCTAGCAACTCACAGGTCTGTGCTTCAAGGTCCACTCCATATCCATGCCCAGAGTTCTTTGTAGGCCTGACTGTCCAGCCTGGTTCAATTCATCCTGCTTCCCGCAGCTCCTGGCTTAAAACTCACAAAGTAGAACAGCAGGCTGGTGTTTCTTCCCATTTAAATTTCAAAGCCTTCTGCCATTGGCTCTTCTGGCTCCCTGCCAACACTTCCTAATTAGTTTTAAAATTACTGGAGATTGCCTGTCTCCTAGAACTGGAAGGGACCTTGAAAGGTCCTTCACAGCAGGACCAAGTACCACCCCTGACAAATTTTTGCCCCAAATCCCTAAACGGGCTCTACAGCAATTGAACTCACAACCTTGGGTTTAGCAGGCCAATGCTCACACCACCGAGCTACCCCTCCTCCCCAGTTTAACCCTTTAGTCTCTGAGTGTGGGCCAACCCTCCTCCTATCCATCACACCTTCAGGGGACTAAATGAGTTGCTCCCACTCAAGAGAGAGATCTTAGAGTCACTGTGGATAATTCTCTGAAAACATCCATTCTGTGCGCCGTGGCACTCAAAACAGCAAACCGCATGTGAGGAATCATTAAAAAAGGCTCAGAGAATAATACAGAGACGATCTTATTGCCTCTGTATAAAACCATGGGACACCCACATCCTGGATACTGCGTACGGATGTGGTCACCTCATGTCAAATAAACATCTTGGCACTTGATAAACTCAGAAAAGGACAACAAAAATGGTTAGGGGTTTGGAACGGGAGACCGACTGAGACTTCTGTCCAGCTCCTGACCGCACACTTTGGGAGACAAGCTCCCAGCCCCTCCCCTTTTCCCCAGTGCCCCACAGCCTATGGTCCCCTACCACCAGGGGTTGGGGAGTAGAGAGGGCTGGTATCACCCCTGTAGACCCTCCACCACACCCTATAGATCCTCCTGCCCACCTAAGTATACTCCCTCTTAGAGTCTCCCCCCAAACAATGCCCCATAGACAACCCCTTCCTCACCTCGGTAACATCCTTATTCATGCACGTCATATAGGGTGCAACCCTCAGGCCAAAATGCTTGCCCATCTCTGCCCAAGCCCATCTCGGTGCTGCTGTCCCTACTCCAAGCCCATGTTTCTATCCTTTCCCATCCTGTTTACATGGGCTATGCACAGCACGGATTAGTATCGGCGCTGGGTGAGAAACCATACCCCGGCCCCTGTGCAAGCAAAGTGACGAGTGTCTCTGATCTCCCTGATACCAGTCTCCCACCTCAGACCTTGTGTACGTGACACCCAAAGCATCTCTGCCCCACGCCCCAGAGATCCAGTGACAGACATTTCTGCTGCCCCATTCAGTTTATCAACCCTCAGTGGGGCTCTGCCCCACCTGCTCTTGAGTTGGGTCCTGGAAAGTTCCTGGGGGAGGCGTCATCTCTACACAGAGCTGGGAGCATCCGTGGACCAGCCAAGTCTGACTGGAAAGTCCCAGCCAATCCCTCTGCTGCCTCTGGGTCAGGCCAGAGACCCCTACTGGAGCGACCAGCAGTCTCCAAGTGTCAGGTGGGTCTAGACCTGGAAGGGTGGGGAAATGGGTCTCAAATAGAAATGAGGGGTCCTAGATGTGTCTATAATGAACCCACTGTGATTTACATTGATCTTGAAACCATCTCCGGGTGTCCATGTGGGCCTGGATCGATCGCTCATGGAACATCCTCCGTTGGAATGAATCGAGTAAGGACTGAAATGGAGCTGGATGCATGTTCATCCATCTCCATGGACCTGGAAAGGCCACAGAGCTTGTGCAGCTTGGTTCTAGATGGCGCTCACTCCCTCTCTGTGGTCACTGTCCCTGCTCCCAGATCCCTCCCTTCCTGTGTCATGGAAACCAGTCCGATTCCAGGCACATCCCAGTGTCTTGGCACAACCAAATCCTGACCTTGCATTAGGTTAGGCTGAGAGGAAGCGGAATACCACAGATTGTGGATCTTAGCTCTTATCTTTCAAGAGGAAACCTTCAGAGGGTAGCCGAGTTAGTCTGTACAGGATAAACGTAAAAAAAAGAAGTGGTCTGGTAGCACTTTACAAACTAACCATTTACCATCGGCATGTTTTGTTACTCTATAAAGTGGTACAAGACCATTTCTTGTTTTTTACGTTTATCCTTCTAAGAGGAGTTCTTGAAGAAATGAGGGACGGACGGACCCACAGACAGACTAAAAGATGCACGAACTCTCACACTCTCAGGACTGCGTCTGTTGGTCTCTGAATCTCTCTCTCTCTCTCTCTGTCTGTTGGGCCGTTTGTTCCACAGCGATGGCCATCAAGTGTGGGAGGCAGCTTCCTCTGAGCATAATGCAAAGCAAGGTCAGGGGTCGGGTTGTGCCAGTGAAATGGGAAGTGCTGGGAATGGGGCTGTTCCCTTAACATGGAAAGAAAGAGGGCAAAGAGAGGAGAGACGTGAAAGGGAGGGTGTCAGGAATAGGAGGAGTACTGATAAGCACCTGCCAACTAAGGGATTAGCTTAGGTTCCTAGCAAAAGTATTGGCCAGAGGGTTTGGGCACTAAAAATGCAGGTAGGAATTTCAAACTGGAGAAGAGAAGATTTCTCTCTCCCACACAGAGGGTCAGGTTCGGGGATTGAACCGTGGCAAGGGGCACAGAGAAGAGGCTGTGACGCTGACAGTGGCCACCAGGGGAAGCTTCAACACCAAGAGATTGGCCAGAGGGGGCAGGAGGAGCACCATCTTGCTCCCCAGAGCAGGACAAAGCTAACTCCTACTTCCAGCCATGGCTCACAGTCCCCAGCTGGTCCCGCTTCCTGCTTTCTTCAGATCCCTGGGCAAAGTGTCCTCCACCCAGATTGTCACACTCTGGAGAGCAGCTCAGGACAAGAGGAATCACACACAGCACCACAAACCAACAGTGAATGCAACAACTCAGTGAACACCCTGGCTATAAGAGTGATAGATAGAGGGGGTGTGTGGGGATAGAGAGAGAGAGAGAGAGAGAGAGAGAGGGGGGAGGGTGTGGGGGGATAGATAGATAGATAGATAGATAGATAGATAGATAGATAGATAGATAGATAGATAGATAGATAGATAGATAGATAGATAGATAGATAGATAGATAGATAGATAGATAGATAGATAGATAGATAGATAGATAGATAGATAGATAGATAGATAGATAGATAGATAGATAGATAGATAGATAGATAGATAGATAGATAGATAGATAGATAGATAGATAGATAGATAGATAGATAGATAGATAGATAGATAGATAGATAGATAGATAGATAGATAGATAGATAGATAGATAGATAGATAGATAGATAGATAGATAGATAGATAGATAGATAGATAGATAGATAGATAGATAGATAGATAGATAGATAGATAGATAGATAGATAGATAGATAGATAGATAGATAGATAGATAGATAGATAGATAGATAGATAGATAGATAGATAGATAGATAGATAGATAGATAGATAGATAGATAGATAGATAGATAGATAGATAGATAGATAGATAGATAGATAGATAGATAGATAGATAGATAGATAGATAGATAGATAGATAGAGCTGGTCATAGACAGACAGACACAGACATGGAATGGACTCAGGAATGATAATTTCTCACTTCGCTTTCCACATTTAAGTTTCCTTCGCATATTTCCCAGGGCCAGTGGCTGGGTACAGTGGGGGGCAGGGATTCCCCCACCTCCTCATTGTGCTAGGAACCCCTGAGCCCAGCTGGGTCCAACCAAGACTCCCCAGCCCAGCCTGACCCCATCCAGCCCAGATGCTGCTCTGGGTCTCACCCCTCGGGTTGATCACTCAGGATCCGCAACACATTTTTTGTAGCATTTTTATTCCCTGCTGGGTGTGGGCCGCGCAGCAGGGCAGGGGAGGTGGGAGGTGGGTGGTCAGTGCCGGGGATTGAGCTGCAAGCAGTTGAGCGCGGTTTTCCCTGAGTTCCCTTCTTGTGGCTTTGCCGGAGCTGGGCTCCCTGCCTGGAGGCCAGGGAGCCATGGCTGGGTGGGGGGGACTCAGTCGCCCCACGTCTGGGCCAAAACAAAACACCGAAGTGGTTCAGCTCCAGGACACTCTGCACTTTCTGGCGGGGCTCAAGACTCCAATTTCTTCATCGTCTCCTGAATCCAGGGCAGGAAGGTGGAGACTTTGGTGTACACGGCCGGGGGGATCCCATCTTCGGATCCCAAGGAGACAATGCCCTGGGCTTCTTCCCCACACACCAGGGGCCCCCCAGAGTCACCCTGTGAGAGGAAAAAAATGAGACTCATTTGTACAGCCCCAAGTGCAGAGGGACCCGACCTCTGCCCTCTCTCTGAGGCCCAACACATACCACCCAGGGACTCAAGGAAACTTTCAGGGAAAGGGGATCTGCCTTCCTCTGGGTCCCCCACACACATCATGGTGGTGGCGTTATAGCTGCGCCATGGCCCCCCACGCTTCCTCCGACAGTCGGCATCCGGCATCACCACCACGTCGGCCTCCTGCAGCGTCTCCGAGATCTGCTCGTTGGATGCACTCATCTGACCCCAGCCGGCCACGCTGCACTTGGTCCCTGGGCGCACTCGCTGGGGGGCCGCGGGCAGGGAGAGGAGTCCGACGTACCCATTGCTCTCAGCCTTGCACTGCAGCTACACACAGGCACGGACATATGGACAAGGAGGAGGGCGAGGGTCAGAGGTGCACCAGGCAAGTTAGAAAGATCCTAAAGAACATGCACTGCCATGAGCTCACTGGAGTGCAGCCTTGTGAGGTCACTGGGGTTGGGGGATGGGATGGGGGCGGTACCTGCAGCAGTGTGAGGTCACTGGGGGCGGGGGATGGGATGGGGGCGGTACCTGCAGCAGCATGATGTCATTGATTTTAGTCTCCCAGTTGTACTGCGGGTGGGGGATCTGCCTTTGCACTTCAATCACTTGCTGGCTCGGTTCCTGTTGTTTGATGTTGTGGGCTCCCAGGGTGACATGGATGCTGCTGCAAAAGCCGAGAGCAGCCCACGTGGGGCGTTAGGGGAGAGGTCGGTGACGTGTTTTTCTGACTCATCAATTCTGGTCCTGTGAGGACAGGGCAGCCCGGGGCTCTGAGAATGGGTCTCAGTTTCCTCCCTCCCCTTTGCACTTGGTTGTCAGCTCCTACTCCCAGCTAGATGCAGGCTGGGGTCCATGCCCAGGGCTGCCTGTGGCTGTGACCCCTCCCTGCCCCACGTTAGCCCCAGTGATTTACCCAGCGCTGGGGCTGGGCCGTGGGTTGCTGAGGCCCCTAGAGACTTCTCCCAGCTAGATGCAGGCTGGGGTCCATGCCCAGGGCTGCCTGTGGCTGTGACCCCTCCCTGCCCCACGTTAGCCCCAGTGATTTACCCAGCGCTGGGGCTGGGCCGTGGGTTGCTGAGGCCCCTAGAGACTCGGCG